TACATTTCCTTTCTTATGCTTTCTGCTGCAGCGCGAACTCTCGCCATCCCAATCAAAGACAAACAACGCCCAAACAGCAGCAACTACTGCTGTTGCTGCTGCTGCTGCTGTTGCTGCTGCTGCTGCTGCTGCTGCTGCTGTTGCTGCTGCTGCTGCAGTTAAATGACGCTCTTAGAGAAGGCCACCTTTAATGATCGACCCATAAACTCGTAGTTATGCAAATGCATCACAGCACTCAGAGCCTGCATGCAGCAGCAGCAGCAGCAGCAAAAGCAGCAATAGTTATTGTTGTACTCACTCCAATCTAAGAGCAGCAGCAGCAGCAACACCAACAGCACCACCAACGCACCACCACCAACAGCAGCAACAGCAAAACACTAGCAGCAGCAGCAAAACACACACAGCAGCAGCAACAGCAAAACACCAGCAGCAGCAGCAACAGCAGCAGCAACAGCAGCAGCAGCAGCAGCAGCAGCAGGTTTAGCGTTTACTCTTTCTTCAGTTTCGAGCTCCATAATGCAGAGTTTTGTCTTGGAGGCTTCGTTCTTTGGCTTCTTGAAAGTTAACTTTAATACTTCGCCGAATCGTTTGAACAATGCAGCAACATCTTCAGCTGCTGCTTCTTCATGCAAGTTCGCGACGAAAACCATTCGCGTGGGTCTGCATGCACCTTTCAGGTACTTGTCTACGTCTTCTCCCTATTAGAAACAAACAAAACAATTTAGTATGTTTATCAATTAATTAATTAATTCTTTCATTCATTTACACTATGCAATCATATTCTTATCTCCATCAATTGCATGCGCTTAGACAGATATTTACATGTATGTATATATATGTATATACATTTATATACATGAAGATATATATATATATATATCTTCAGATAGCTATAAACCTAGCTCGCTAGCTATGTATACAGCTAGGTAGCTAGCTAGCTAGTTAGCTAGAGATGGGTTTGCGTAGTTGATTAGCTTACCCCATATCTTTGGTCTTTCATTGTGAAGGCAACTGTCCTCTTCTCGTCTTCCACTGCTGCTGCATCTCCTGCTGCTGCTGCTGCTGCTGCTGCTGCTGCTGCTGTGCTTGAAGGCAGCCGAACCTCTTTGTTGCGGCTAAGCGTTACCTGCAGCTCCTGGCCCTCACACAACACTCCCTGCAAACCGCAACCACAAACCACAAACCCTAAACTCTAAACCCTAAACCCTAAACCCTAAACCCTAATAAGGGCACCTGACAACAAACGCTACTAACGCACCCTCCTCCTCATAAACCCGCATAATAAACCCCCAAAAATCCTTAAACCCTAAACCCCACAAACCCTAAACCCTAAACCCTAAACCCCACAAACCCTAAACCCTAAACCCTCACCATCATGAGTCTCTGGGCGATAGTTGCGTAGAAAGGAAGTGCATATTGTATTAATGCGGTGTCCGGCCTATCTTTTAATATTTTAACTCGAAGCACAACTCCATACAAGCTGGATAAATTAAAGAGCTGCATGCATTCACAAACATATACATATAAATATATATATATTATATATATTTGTTTATTTATTTGTTTTATTTAGTCTTATTTACTTATTCTATTTATTTATGTTTATTTATATTTATTTATTTAATTTGTAGATGCATTTTTATATATATTTATTGATGCGTGGATATATGCACAAACAAAACAAGAAAACACAAATGCAGCAATTAAACAAATAAACAAACGAACGAACAAATAAATAAATAAATAATAAATAATAATAAATAATAAATAATAAATAAATGAGCAGACAAATAAAATAAAAATGATAAACAAATAAGCAAATAAATGAATGAATGAATGAACAAACTAAACAAGATAAACAAACAAAACAAGATAAACAAACTAAACAAGATAAACAAATTAAACAAGACAAACAAACAAACAGCTTAAATAAAACACAATAAAATAAAATAAAATTAACTTAAATTAAATGAAGACGCACCATTTGAATAGAGACAGATGAGGGTATATTATAAACAATAATTACAGGCGTCTGTGAAGGGTTGGCAAACTCAAAGTTAAGATCGCGCAACTCTTGAGGTAGCTTCTCAGGAGAAAAACAAAGAGGGGGGGTTAAAGAAGGTCTTAGTCCACCATAGGGTGTATATAGAGCTCTTGGTGCTGCTGCTGCTGCTGCTGCTGCTGCTGCTGCTTGGGATTGTAATAGATGCTGCTGGGGCTGTTGTTGTTGTTGTTGCTGCTGCTGCTGCTGTTGCTGCTGCTGCTGCTGATGATGATTAAACGGATATTGCTCTATTAATGATGAGCTTGAAGCTCCAGGCCCTGCAGCACTTTGAGTGTAATCCCAAGACTTAGCTGAGTTTGCTTTTACTACTAATTCAGACAAACGCGAAGCTTGCAGCTGTAACGTGTTACAATCGTCGTATATATTTCTATTGTTTAAATGTAATAGTGCTTCTTGTGCATGCTCAACTCGAGCAAACTGCACCAATGCTTGATATAAACTTGGAGTGCGGTAGAAGCTAACTATCTGTACGCATGCACACATAAACAACATAAATATATATATATTATATATATATTATTATATTATATATATTTATTATATATATGTTCGTGTATTATTGTATTTATTCTACTATGTGTATTTGTTTCTAGCTATAAATTCGTATATTTATTATATATATTATATATATAATATATATATAATATATTATACATATATTATTATATGATGCTTATCAGCGAGACAGACAAATAAGCAAACGAATGCTGAGACTCTGCACAACTCCAAAGATATATTTATTTATTATTCTTCGCATCATTAACAGCCCCAAAGAAGATGCATGCATGCATGCAGGCATGCATGCATGCATGCATGCATGCATATAGTATAAAAGTAAAGGTGTATTTGAGGTGGGGGTTTAAAAAGAAGATAAGCATCAATTCGAGTGAAAAGAATATGAAAAGCAAAGAAAGAAGATAAGGAATTAGTTGTTTGCGTAGGTTTAGGGTTTAGGGTTTATATATCCATATTTAGGGTTTAGGGTTTAGGGTTTAGGGCTGCCGGTATATATTGAGGGTTTAGGGTTTAGGGTATATATGTAGGGTTATTGGTTGAGTGTTTGGGGTGTACTGATGAATATACGGATATGAATGAATGCTTAGGGTTTAGGGTTTAGGGTTTAGGGTTTGGGGTACACTGAGGGTTTCGGGTGTATATATAGGGTTATTGGTCGAGTGTTTGGGGTGTATTGATGGACATATGGATATGAATGAATGCCTAGGGTTTAGGGTTTAGGGTTTACCTTTTCTACTGTTCCGTAGCGCGAGAAGAGATGATGTATTAAATCTAAGTCCACAGGATAACGAATATTTGAGACAGATGCTAACAGCACTCTACCCAGAGACCCGCTCTGCTGCGCTTCCATTGTCTTATTAGAAACCCTCGAGCTAAGAGAAGCAGACGAATCTGTATCTTGTTGCATTGAAGAAAGAAGAAGAGGAGAGAAGACGCTGAAATAAAAGGTTTAAAAATGAACGAACAGTATAGGCTATGATGAAGATATTAAAGAAGAGATGAAGCAAAAGAAAGTAATATATACATATATATATACATATAATGCTTATATTTTATATATATATGTATATATTTATATGTATATATATGTAATATATATATATGTATATATAACAACAACACAACTGATTTTATATAAGCCCCTCACCCAGATAGAAACAGAGAGAGAAACAGAGACAGACAAAGAAGATATCAATTAAGATAAACCACTTCAAATAAAATACAAACAAACAAACAAAAGAAAAAGATATTTTACTTCAATCTTCTTCAACGCTTTATGCAGATACGCCCAGCCACAGCACCCCCATGCAGGTGCGGGTGGTAGCATTCTCTATAAGAATATCTTGAGTAAATAAGACTTAAAGGTTTAAATTTATTAAAATAAAACTATTAATTACATTTAAATATATAAATATACTTTTTAAATCAAAGAAGAACTCAAAAAATATGCTTTTTTTCAAACCCTCATATATCCGCAGACGCAGCAAAAATCAAGAAGAAGCAAACAAAATAATCTTATCGTGGGGTCATATGTTTCTTCTTTTTTCTTCTTCTTCTCGTTTAAACAATATTTATTTACATTTTAAATATAATAAAGACAATAAAGCAAATCAAAACAAACAGATACATACAATATTTACCCTCTATAACACAAATACCTCTACGCAGTTCTTCTATGCGCAACGAAGAAGAAGGCTGTTGTGTATATATACACCTGAAGAGAATATCTCAATAAATCAATTGAATAATATATATTTATTTTATTTATTTATCCCACAACGTTACTAAACATTATTATATTAACAATTACAATAAAAACAAGTTCTTATCAGCATGCAGACAGCCAGAGGGATGTTGAGGCGTCATCTCAGGTGTACAGACAGCTCTCGTATTCTTTTTCTCTTCCTTTCTTTTCTTTTTTTATTTATTTTTTTCATTTTTAATTCATTTTAATAACATCTCCTACCGCCAAACACGCAGACATCGCTAAGCAAATGTTTTTCTGTCTGGTGCTCCAGAGGCTTGCTGCCTCCCTCTCATTCATACATATATAACTATAAAACTACATATATATATGTGTATGTATATAACTATATATATATATATAACTATATACGTATATAACTATATATATAGTTATATAAATAGAGTGGTATATATATATATAAATATGTATGTATATGCATATATATATATATATATAAATTAGTGTTTGTATATATGTATAATACGTATCATAATGTATATTTGATATATTTCTATATATGCGTATAAATATGTACTTGATAGTTAATATATATACATATATATTATATATATAGAGTTTTGTATATACACTACATATGAGTTCATATATACACGACAGAATAGATATATA